CCACAATCTTTCTACTAAACAGATTTGTAACGTTAGCACTGAAGATGGCTGAATGATCAGCCGAAACGTTTGACATCGACGATGCCCTAACAATATTCGTTACTATGGATACTGATACTTCTATCAAACATCGATAACAGATATCTAATAGACATCTATGATGGATTTATAGACGTCATTTATCATGGAGATAATATGAATTTCTAATAGAAATCTATCTAATATCCATCGTAGAGATAAATGTAGTATAGAGTTATGGAGATTATATGAACGTCCATTGGATGTCATGTTCTGTGTGGGGTCAACTCGCGGCGGATTTTCAATTTCAAAAATCAATTTAATATTCTGAATTTCCTATGGAAATTGTATCAGATTATTGTATTAAACTGATAAGCTTAATTAAGCCACTGGCCACTATTATATGCACTGTAGATGAATTTTGAGTACGAGTTTATATGTGAAGAAACACGCCGCATAGCGGCAAACAACATCAAATTCCACTGCGCAGATTTTGTTCGATTTCTGCTGTCAATCTGACATCAAACTGCGTTGCACAGGTCTTGCTCGGTTTCTGCCGTCAATCTGCTGTAATAATTCCGAGCAAATCCTGCTCAGTTTTTGCTACTGATCTGCTGTCAAATTATGTCAGCAGGTTTTGTAACATTTCTGCTGATATTCTGCTATCATCATCTGATGTAACAGGTTTTGTATATAATCTGCAGTCTTTCTGCTAACAAAAATTTGTAGCAGACATTTAGCAATATATGTTCGAACAGTCTTTGCTGACTCATTGCCCCTGGGTCATTGCTCCATGGCTTAGAATCGGCCTAGATATTCTACATATCTCTATACGGTATCCGCAAACAAAGAATTAAATATACTTTTTACAAAATAATTTGTAAACTATTTGTCTTGATTCAATTAGATATGATTCGATAGGACACCGAGGGGCGCAAATTCTCAAATCTGTTCTCACCCAGTCGTGCCCTCTCAGAGGGCGGCGCCCATTTGGAGAGGAGGGTGTGAACGCAAGGTAATAGGCAAGCCTGAGTAAGACCCATGCCTACCCTGCAAATCAGAATAGCTGGCAGTTTCCACTGACTAGTGACGACTGGCGTTATGATGTTCAGGACGCCACACAACAGCATCCCAATACTGAGAAGCTTTTGACCACTCCAGATACTGGCGATGAAGCCGCTCGGCACTTGCATCACCACGTAACCCCAAAAGAACGAACTGAGCACCAGATCTTTTTCCTTTTTACTCCAACCAAAATCCTGATGGCAGCAATTAATGTAGCATTTGATTGACCTTAAACTTCATTATTACGTAGTAAAAATTGCATTGATAAATCTTTTTCGACGTCATTATTTTCATGATCACATTATCCATGTTTTTAAAAAACTGGATAGTTCCTAAACTTAGAAAATCCTTGTGCTTAAATTTCAATTATTTTTAATTGTTATACATATATTAATTTCTAGATAGATGAGAAAACTTTGCTTAAATGGATTGTGTAGAATAAATTGGCGATGATTATCGCAATATACAGGATGTCCGGTAACTCACGGACCAACGCTCGTGAGCGGATAGAGCACATTAAACAGAACAGAAAAGTTCTTTACCATTTTGCAATTCTTGCAATAATTATTTAAGTATTAATTAAAAAAGATGGGCGAATGAACGCGTGTTTCGCGCGACTAGATCGTAGGATGTAGCTCTAGGCGTGTCAGCGATGAGTGGTCGCACGGCAATGAAAAGTTTAGTCGCGCGACGAGAGTCGCGGTACGCGCAGGCAGCGATTCTACGATCTAGTCGCGCGAAACACGCGTTCATTCGCCCATCTTTTTTAATTAATACTTAAATAATTATTGCAAGAATTGCAAAATGGTAAAGAACTTTTCTGTTCTGTTTAATGTGCTCTATCCGCTCACGAGCGTTGGTCCGTGAGTTACCGGACACCCTGTATAATAATTGTCAAAATAATAAGACATTTACAAATTGGCGATTCATTATTTATCGGCTTCTTTAGCGGCCTTGTAAAAACAATGATCATTTATCTGCATTCGAGATCCGTGCATTTTCGCGTAAGAAATCGCGCGAGAGTGAATGTATCCTTGTCACAATCTGTGACGAGACAATGGAAAGGGAATTGCAATATTCGTGGAACTCTCCTTTCAGCCGCGACGAGATATCTGACACACGAAAAAAAAACCATTTTATCGTACGTAGCTCAACCTAATGCACTTTACTCTGTCTCTCTCTCTCTCTCTCTCTCTCTCTCTCTCTCTCTCTCTCTCTCTCTCTCTCTCTCTCTCTCTCTCTCTCTCTCTCTCTCTCTATTCCACGGATACATGAGAAAAATTTCCTTCCCCTGACATAGATACCGAATTCGATGATGACACGATTGCAATCGCGAATTTATGATATATTCTATGGCCGACAAAAATCACTTAATCGACGCAAACGGTTCCGCTTGATTGCCGAGCGTTCGAATTTAATAATTCAATAATTGTAATTAGCCAACTATATATACATATAATAATTATAATTGTATAATTTAATTGTATAATACGCAAATACAATTTATAATATTAGATTTTATATTTAATATTATATTTTTTTAAATTTATATTAATGTATTGAGTTTCTTTCTCACACATTTAATTTTATATTATAAAATATATTATAATATATTATAAAATTAAATATTAAAATAGCACAATATAAATATATAATATATTAATATAAATTTTTTTAAATATAATATTAAATATAAAATCTAATATCATTTTTTTACTGTGTGTTAAAAATATATAAAATATATCCGCACAATTGCATTATTTACAGTGCAAAATGTGAACAGAGATCAATTTTTGTCCAATTATTCGCGAATTCGATAATTTCAACAAAATTATATATCAACTCTACGAAATGAGAAAGAAATTATATTGTACATTTAGGATTTTCTTGAGCAACAATAATGACAAAAAATGTTGATCATGTCATTATATAATGAGCACATTCGACACGCGCTTATCTGACAATCGCAACAACGTAATGTCAAGTGTTTCACACTATTCGCTCTCGATGTTATGCTATGTAAACAACGAGATTACGAGTAAAGAATTCACCTCGATATTCGGATTTGCGCTGCTTGCATTTGCCATCGGCACCACAGCTACTGACATCCCGACTCTAAGACAGTACCCGATAGTCATGCCCAGGAACAGCAGTAGCACTTGTAGATGCCTGATTCCGAGAGTACCTGTACAAAAAAATCATTCTGTCACTAATAAATAAATTGTATCCGCATTAACGTATCAAAACTTGCCTAAATCAATTTTTTTTTAATTATACGAAATCACATTAATATCGGTTTAAAGTTATAAATTTCAAATTCAAAGAACAGGATTAATTTATACTTACAATTAAATATTACCAAGAGATGTCTCGATATGAGAAATGAATGAATGTAAAATGACGGCACTGGAAAATTGCAAAGTCGCAATGCAATTTTTTAACGTAATTAAAATATTAATTGTGGTAACAATAATCAAATAAATGATAACAATAAAACTTAAGCAATTATAATAATAATAACAATAAACAATAAAAACTTGACATAGTAATAAAAATAGTATATGTTTCTCATTCGCGAAAAATATCAGTTTTTCGTTTTGCGGTTTTAAAGAATCAATTCCGTACACAGGGTGTCCTGCATCTAACGCACCGTACAGTAATAACATTCCTGTGATCATTTTAAGATGAAAATTCTAATACCAAAATGTCGAAGCTGTAATAGTTTTTAAATGGGAAATATTTAAAGTTGATCACACACAATCAAATTGCTTCAAATTCGCACGCTCTGGCATGGTACATCGCATAGTAATGAGGATACCTTCCAATATTAATTTGCTTTTAAATATAAATATAATTTTACGCACAATAAAAAATAAAAACAGATCGATATCCTAAGATACCTTTATTGCGGATTATTGCGCACCATACCTAAGCATGCGAATTTGAAGCAACTTGATTGATCGACTTTAAATACTTCCCATTTAAAAACTACTGCGTCTGTCAAAAAGTTCGATTCGATTTTCAATAGGTATCGCTAAAATTATTTAATATTGGCAAAACTGTTAAAAATGTCTATGTATTATATTTTATTGCAAATTTTACATTTATAATTGCCAGTTTGCAGTTGCAAAATTACACATTAAAAAAATTAGTGTCGAAAAGTTGCATTTGCGTCTTATTATGGTTGTTTTCCAGCAAAGGACACAAGTTGACACAAGTTGACACGAGTATCACTCTGTCTTTGTTCGATATTCAATGAGCAACAGAGAGAATAATATTTTAGTGTCGCTTGTGTCTCTTGGTGGAAAACTACCTATGTTGTTCAAATTTCAAGAAAATTCGAATGTTTCTGCCACCACCAAAAACACATAGTTATAGCGTATAAAGTGTGTAGAGAAACTACTGTAACTTTTAAACCGTTAGAAAATGGTTTGCAAAATTTCGATGCAACGATTTTGATCTTCATCACAAGTCATGGTGCTGGATGATGATGCAATCAGTAATTTACTCAAAGCAAACCCGCGAATTTCGAAAAGTCACTGAAAACGATGGAATTTATTTCACTAATTAGGCAAAGCGATGTGTTTATTAATAAAATGTGTTTATTAAAGAAAATGTTTGAATTTTATTTAAAAAATGAACCAAACTTCTTGAAACACACTCAATATTATAACCTCGACATTTTGGTATTAGGATTTTCATCTCAAAATAATCTCAAGAATGCACCATTACCGTACGGTACGTTCGATGCGGAACACCTTGTATAATTAGCAATTATAGCAGTTATCTATGTTATTCTGCATGATAATGTACGATAACAAAATACGATCGTAATTGCGAGTACTCAATCTTGATAGCGTTTTCTGCTAGCATCACGTGGCTTTAGAAAAACACAAATAAACCGCGATCATGGCGCGTTGCTGTAGATCCTCAACATTTGCGGAAGAAAATTTTACTAACAAGGTGGAACAATTTATAATGACATCCATATATTAAGCCCTGCGCACAATAGGAATAAATATTAAATATTAGCAATAGAAAATTGGAATTATTTTATTTCAGAACAAGAAAATGGGATGTATTCCAGCGAGAAATGACCCATCAAATCGACGTTTAATTGACATCGAAATCATCAATATATCATGAATTAAAAATTAAGAATTAGGAATAACTAATACATTTCGTTTCTTTGTTTGAAGTAAAATAATTCCAAAAATTTTTCTTCCTATTTAATATTTATATAATTTATATTACAAGACCTCTTAAAATTAAAATAATGATAAGATAAAGAGCCAAAAGCCTATGCTGGATGTTCGTGCTTATATATTTATTGAAAACAATCTAATCCAAACAAACGTTTCAACTTGTAATCAGACTATCTTCAGTGTTTACAAATTTTTTGAATATTATAATATAAAATTTTTGAGAACGCAAATCGTACATTATAAAAGCCTGTCTTTCGCTCGCAGTCTTATTATGTCGAGTTAATTTTTCAATTAGTAATAGTCGCAACAACGGTTATGAGATGTGAAAGTCAGACCAGATTTAATTGATATAAATTTTCGAAACATAATTAATCAGTTATGTTCAATGCTTTTCAGTTCTCAGAACAGTGAGCTTTCTTTAAAGACTCTGATTTGTACAGTCCATATTTAAACCAAAACTGATGTTAATGTGTCAAAAGTTAAAATCTGATTCAATTTTTATATTATATATTTTATATTTTTATATCTGAGTCAAAATTCCCTCAGAGGGAGAGGGGAGAAAGAGAGAGAGAGAGAGAGAGAGAGAGAGACAGAGAGAGATATATGAATTTCGATTTGTATGAATTGCAACGAAATGTCAGCTCATACAATTTATTACACATTACAAAGTTGTTGCTAATCGCATAAGTACACCGGACACACGTAATTACAAAAGTATGTGCCGATGGTATGCTTAAGAGCGAGATAACAGCGCGAAAAAAATACGCGAAAAAACACGGAAGATTACGCAGAAGAAAAGCGTACAATGTTACTTCGGGTTCTTCTTTCGTGAATTTCGTGTTGATTTTTTTCCTACAAAAAATTCAAATATTTGAAATATATAAGATAAAAATTTTATATTTTGTAATAAAATTTTTTGCCGGAAGAAACATGTCTTGACATTTATCGTTATGAATTTAATATAATTTTTATTCATATAAAATATTATAAATAATGAAATAATATAATATAATAAACATGATATATTATCTTAATTAATTCATCAATAATTAATTGTCATCGTTACTTTCATAAAAATTTATATAAAATGTCAAGTTAATAAAAATATGTAGATATAAAAATTTTTGAGGGACTACACATCACACTAATCTAGCAATGACAAGAAAAATATTATCAATATGAGCAATCGTTGCATTAGAAATAAGTGGTACGCGATAGTACGCGATTGAAAATAAGACAGTAAAAAAAAGGTAGCTATAAGTTGCCAGACTCAATCAATAGATTTCCGACATAAATGATAATGCTGATACGCAGTTTGTAATCGGAATGAGATTCGATAAGATGCAAAGATAACGTAGAGATAAACCATGATGATTCGTAATTGTGATTTACAGCGATATACAGGTATTTTTAATGCAATTGTTTATTAACTGTGAAATAATAGATAGCCAAACAAATTGCACACTTAAACTTCAATGGATCATCAATTTGCAAAAGAGCGGTAGTACACTCCGATTGTCGATAGCGTGTGTCACGATCAATCATCTTTTATTGCGATTCAAGCGAGGCAAACTTGCAATTTTGCGCGCACGATAATGCCAGATAATATAATCAAACGATAACAGGAGTTATCGAATAGTTAAAAAAATATTCTTAACGGCACTTCTATTGATAATTACGCAATGAAAATTCTGATTGCAACACACACACACACACACACACACACACACACACACACACACACACACACACACACATACAACTAAATTTAAGTAATTACTAATTTTTTTAGTTTAAAAATTTAATAAAAAAATTTTAAAAAACTTAGTACATTTTTAACTAAAGTAATTTTTTACTAATTTTTTTAAAAATTTACTTTTTCTTATCTGTATCGTCTATTATTTTAGTTGTAAAATTATTATTAATACTATTATTATTATTATTATTATTATTATTATTATTATTATTAATATTAATATTCTGTTTTCTTTATCATTACTTTCACAATACATTGAAAATTATATATAAATAAGAATATTATTTCAAAAAATGTTTTTTCTCTACAGGCCAAATATTTTGCTGCAATTCATTTATCATCTAAATGCATTCTTATGTATTTTTTATGTTAATTTTTTACGCTAAGAAACCTTGAATTTTCCTTTGTTATCTCCAAGATAATTTTGCTAAATTTTAACGATGCTATTATACGATGCAAATATCAAAAACACTTCCGTTTTTTTGAAATACGCGACATTTCCTTTGTGAACCAAATTATATATGTAATTATTAATTAGAATACTTATTAGTGCCATAAGGAAAAAAATAAAATTGCATCCTCTGACAATGTGTATCGAAAGGTCATCTCGCACGCGGCACAGTAGAATTCGTTACATCACAAACAGCTCGGTAATAAACCAAATATTAAGTGTATAATCCTCTGTGTAAATATCCTTTTATTTTTTTAATGCACTTTTGTAAGTTGTTGCGAAAAAAGTCGCGCAAACACTTTTCCTGTTGCTTTAAGCACTCTTCATGATCACTTATTTAACATACACAATTATGTTGATCTAAAGACCCATAGATCACTGAAGATCCATAGGTCAATATTTGACATCTGTTGAACGATAGCACAGTTCGATAGTACAGAATTAATTTAATAATGCTCTTCACATTATAAATGTACACAGAGATTTAATATTAAATCACTATTTGCAAACTTGTCTCATTGTTTCATACAAGAAAAATGAAGAAATGTTGTCTAATTCGATTACTTAAAATCGATAACATTTCTGATGAAGCTACTACGCGTGAGAAGCATGTCTTGACGAAAAGTTCAAAATAACCTTGAAAATCCGTAACTTAATTTTAAATTTGTGTGCAAGTTACAAATTTATATCAAATTCTTCATTGAACGTTCGCTACTCTTCGAAACGTATATCCTTTTCTCATCTTAAATCCGTATTTTATAAAAATGTTAATTTTCTGCTACAAAACTCGAAACACGTAATCTTCCCCCCCGTAATTTCTTTTTTTTAAGATATAATAAATTTATCTAACAATAATTTAAAAAATATGGATTAAAAAATGCGGAAATAATTCTTCTCTATTATGAATCACGATCTTTCAATCACCGATTAATCCTCATTCGAGTGTCAAAGTCGACATTATGTTTATATCATTAGCGATTTTCTTACAGTTCTGTTGTAAGATCGGAGATGTCACGGTGGACGACGCTTTCTCGATGACATCGTCGTCGTTCTTCCTGATGGCTGTCATTTCGCGCACTGCGTTTCCTGCTCGCGTTCCATTAAAATCCTAATCTCATTGTCGTTGACGATATTTATACGTCGCGCCCCTTCCTTTTCTCCACCTCGTTCCTTCTCCTTCTCTCCATCGTCGTCGTCGTCGTTATCCAACAGGTGATTTACTCTCAGTCGCGCGCAAATCAGTTCGCGGAAATCCATTCACGCAAATCGAAATGACATTATTAAGGAACCGTAGATTAGATCCGTTTCGAGAGAAACTACGAAGGGTACGAAACAAATCCAAAGGTTCAAGGTCATTTTGAGGTAGCGAGACAAACACAAACCTTGAGACACTTTTTTGACTTTTCGAACGTTCCACTCGGTGCTGGTCGTTTCTCTAATCGATTAGTATTACATTGTATTAAAACTTCTTCAGTTTTATCGTTTTGTAACAATGCAACATAATTTGATTCTCAGACACCTATTTTATAATAAATTTCAAATATTTGTTTCACGAAAAATCTATGACTTTTGTGATACTTGCAAAATATATTTTTTTGAAATAAATTTTCATACTAAATCCACAAAAATTTTTACACAAAACAATATAAAGCAATATAATTTAATCTCCTCAGACATCTATTTTACAATAAAATATAAAACACATACTTATGATTAATTCTAAGATGCTTGTTATGTAACACATTTTTTTACAATAAATTTTCAAACAAATGTTCTCTGTATTAATTTTTTTCTATCTCTTTTATGTTATTGCATTATTGTATTTTAATCCTATTGTTGAACATCGGCACACAGATGATACTATGCTAAAATACAAGAAATCATTCAATAATGATTTTCACCAACTTTAATATGTTTCACTTTCCTTCTTTTCGCAGTAACACACACTCCCAAATATTTAGAATATATTTAATTAATGCAACGCTTTTCTCCCTTCTAAAAAATAATCCAAGTTTGTTAAAAATAAATATTAAAATGTGTAAATAATAAAATACAAAAAAATTGAAACTAATAAAAATTTTTTTTAAATAAATAAAAATGGTAGAGATTAAAATATTTTCTGCCGAAAATATTAAGGGAAAAATCAAAATATAGAAAATCCATAAATTCATTTTAAATTAGTTCTTTATGTTTAATTTTATCCACTTATAAGAGACGCGTTTCTTTATTAAATATAATTAATTAGGATTTCGACTAAAAAATTGATGTTTCTAATTTTAAACTATAAACTAAACATTTGCATTTATATATCATAAAAAATATGCTATTTGTATATTTTACATGCGATAATAAAGAAAATTTATCGAGTTAAAGATGACAACATTTTCATATATTGATGCTTGCAAAAGTTTATAAGACAACAAGACAAGCGTTTGAATTGTCTTGGATGTGTTCCTTTTCAACGTCAAATTCGATAATCAGATTGCATAAAAACTACATCGGCAAGTACAACTCTCAATTTGAAACATATAACACATTTTAGTTATTTAAAAAAAATTATTTTAATAAGTAAAAAAGTGAATTTTACCTACAAATAAAACATGCTGTAAATGATGTAGTTTCGATATAGATGCAATTAATTTAAAAAAGAATATTAATTGACGGATTCATAAAATTGAAATAGAAGGAAATTTGTAATTTAAAAATAGAAAGGATATTCTCTTTAACTTCTTGATATATATTTTACTAAATTATTATTTATCTTCTCAATATTGTTCAACACTCAATATTGTTTCATATAGCTAAGTACGCTTATCAGAATGCAATATGTCAAATTCTGGTAGCAATGAACAATGATAAAGTGGTTAGGTCCATATTTAGATGAAAATTCAACCCAAAACAAAAAAAAAGTTACAGTTTCTGAAAAAAAGAACATGAAATTGTCATAACTACATTATTATATACTGTTATATTTCCCATTCCACATGATAACATACTCGCGCACGCATATGTGTCTGCATGTGTATAATTTATACTGTATTTATATTTTTTAATGAGTCATTAAGGACCGATTTCTCCAACTTCTTGGTAGGTTTACCCACCAGTTACCTATTAATAAATATCAATAATCCTTACTCAGTAGTTGGAATATCAAGTAAAATTACCAGTATTGTTATTACCAAGAGGTAATTTTACTTGATATTTCAACTACTGAGTAAGGATTAGTGATATTTATTAATAAATAACTGATGAGTAAACCTGCCAAGAAGTTGGAACAACCGACCCTAAATAAATCAATAAAATATTTTAGTTACAATAATTACTGCGACACGCAATAGTTCAAAAGTAATCTTTTTCTTACGGCTGAGATAAAAGTTTTTTTTTGTTTATTTTCTGTTATTAAGAAAAGCTGAATAGCAAAATAGTGAAAAGTATATATAAAATTTTCACAGCATACAAATGTAATGATCCATTGAATTAATTTAAACGTTATTAAATTCGAATAAAAATTATATTTCATTAATGATCTTCTCTTTGTCGTAGTCGAGGATAACGTTGTCAATATCTTTTGCCTTATCAATGAGATTCGATGTTCTATTTTCCAATGACTGTCATTTCACAAGTACATCTTAAACTATCAAAATCTTAAAATCCTATTTCTCTCTAAATAATATCTGTCTATGTTATGACAATTCTTTTACGGTGTGTCCCTTCTTTCTCCGCCTTTCTTTCACTTTTTTTGTTATCTTTTTCATAGAGAAATAATACAAGTCAATCTTTAATTGTGTTGAATTCTGGATTACACTTTGTACGTGACATATTAAATATTAAAGTTATGCATAATTTTTCTACAATAATTGCGATCAATAAATCAGAATTTACATTAGATTTGGTGAAAAATTTAGGCATAAAAGAAACCTTGTACGCTCAGTTGCATCAAATTTATTTTAGTGATAATAACTGGAGATGTCTATAAATGTATAAAAATATTGTCATATTCTGTGGCGTTTATAATAATAGAAATCTATTTATTCTAGCAGAATTAACATATATAAATATATTTCTATTATTATAAATCACAAAATACATTGTGCCATATATACAGGGTGTCCCATTTTATATTAAATTACAACTAAACTATCTCAACATTTCATATTTTTAAGTTTTAAAATTAAATTAATTGTTATTTGTCGATTGTTCTTCTGTTAACTTGCGCTTTCTGTTCAGTCCCTTGTCCTCCTTCTCCATGCTCTTCCTTGCTATCCTACTGGAATGTTGAGGTGAAATTTTCTGTGGCGTCGCGCATACTGCCAAATCCGGAAGACTGTAACACACATATTTAACATCAAATAAATTGAAGGGTTCATAACGAAAACCCTTGTCAAAAATTGAGGAATTTGAGATAATAGCGTATTCTAGCAGTCACAGGTGGAACCTACAGTGTGGTTGCATCAATTCTCATAAAAACAACTTATGCCTTGATTCATATTGTTAGAAAGTTTGGTTCTATTGAAAACTTAAAGATGAGAGAATGTTTTTTTCTTCTTTTGAAAAAATGAAAAAATTGACAAAGATTGTTTTTGCTATGAACCCTTCAATTTCTATACCAAATTTTTCTGTTGCAACGTTAATGTTTATTGTTTACTCGCCAGAATAAATGTATTTTATATCTTTTGACTTTGGATATATTTTATCGCACAAAATTATTTTTTTATTATTATTAACATTATAATTGTTTTATCTAAAATTATCCTTAATTGTAACTTACATATTTTTATATGAATTGTATTTTACAAGACGCGCATTTTTATTAAAATCGTAATTAAATATAAAATAAAATTGAATAATTTTATAATAAATAAATCCAAAATCGGGAACGAAAAAAATTATTTTTTGTGATGAAGAATATTCGAGGTAATCTATATCTAATAAATTTTCGTTAAAAACTATTAAATGACTTATTTCACACGAATAAATTATCCTAATCATTCTACATATAAAAATACCAAGATAAAAAAAATTAATAGGTCACAAAATATTTTATACTTTATTCTGACATATTGTGACATGACATGTCATCATTAATAAAATGTGAAATATTAATATCAAAGAAACTAACAGAGCTACTTCATTTCGACGTATAAGACGAGAAAAATATTGTGCGATCTTTAATCTGTCATAATGCAATTATGATATAACAAAGACTCAAACATTTTCAGAATTAATCCTACTACTCACCCGCATTCATCAACCTCCAGTTGTTCGTCGTTTAATTGCCTTTGATTTGCAATATTATTCTCCGCGGACGGTCTCTTTTCTTCATTTGACTGCGTGTTGCTCGCGTTTTTGTCATTCGTTGTAGACGTGGTATTTTTATCGCGCGGACTCGCCTCGACGCGCTGTGTCGAGACTGCTTGTGAGGCCTGAGTCGCGTACATCCTTGAAGTGAGTTGCGTGGATGGCGTGATATCGTTGTTCTCGTAAAAGCGCCTCAGATAAAGGGTCACGCTCTTGGAACAATTGAACGTCTTGTAAACGCCCACCAGACAATCAGCCAATTCAAACATGTTTGTGCGCAATGAGATGACGATGAACTGAGCGTTCTTCGTGCGCTCTTTGATGTAGTTGCCAATAATCGAAACATTCTTGAAGTCTAGAGCCGCGTCGATTTCGTCCATGAAGTACAGCGGCGTAGGTTTGTAGTGATGAAGAGCGAAGATCAGCGCCAATGAACTCAGAGTCTTTTCGCCACCGCTGAGATTACCGATGCTCTTCCACGACTTCTTGGGTGGACGTACGCTGAACACGATACCCTCGCTAAATGGGTCCAACGAGTCTACCAGCTCCAACTCCGCGTCGCCACCTAATGTGATCATCCGATACATCTCCTTCAGCTTTGTGGTGATCAGATTGAAGCCGTGTAAAAATTCCTGCACTCTGCGTCGCCGGGCGGTTTCGTAGAGATCGCGCATCTTGTTACGCGTTAGTGTCATCTCTTCCAGATCAGCAGCGTGACGTATGTATAGCGCATCCTTCTCTTGATAATCCTCGATGATCTGCATATTAGGTATCTGTTCGGGCAGTCTCTTCTTAGTCTTCTGCAGATTCTGCATCACCATCATAGCGTCCAATTGATCAATCTCTTCCTCCGTTAAGTCTTTGAGCGGCTCCTGAGTCTCATGTGGAATCACTCGTAATTTTAAATCCACTATCTTGCGGTTGTATTCGGGAATTATTTGTTGCAGCTCCTTCAACACTTTCTTACTTTCATGAAGTTTCTGATTCAGATCGATCTTTACCGCCTTCATCTTATCCTCACGCGCTTGCAGAGCGTTCAATTCATTCTTCATAGATGACACATTGTCGTCTCGCTCCGCCAGTGCTTCATTGATCTTCTCCAACTTGTCCAAAATCGTCTTAGCGCGTTCTTCGAGCTCGGATTTCTCCTTCTGAATGTCTCTCAGATTCTGCTCACAAACTTTCACATCACTCTCTAATGTCTCTATTTGTTTCTCCGTTTTCTTGGCATTTCTCTCAGCAGTCTTGATGGCCACTTGCAGCCGACATATCTCCGCCTTGGCCTTATCCACCGATTTCGTGAGCTGCGCGATCTTCGCCTGCTGATCGCGTACCCGATTGCCGGAAATATCATCTATCTTCTTATTGATCCGTTCCACTTCTTTCTCCACCAAAGCGGAACTCTCCTCGACCTGATCCAAATGTGATTTCGCCCCGTCCACTGCTTTCTGCAGTTTCGCGACCTTTGCCGAATCTGACACCGACTCAGCGACCTTTTTCTCCTGTACTTTAAGCTGCTCTCGCAACAACGGCTCTTGCTCTCTCAGTGTCTGCACTTCGATGCCGAATTTCTTTCTGTCGATCCTCATGTCTCTTAAAGCAGTTGTCAACACGTGTATCTGCTGCTCGAGCAACGGTTGCTTCGCCTTCAGACTATTGCACTCATCAAACACAGCATCTAATTGTGATTGAAGCTTCTCGATATCAGCGCTCGACGGCTCGTTCCTCACAATCTTCTGGCCTATCCGACCGCGAAGCGCCGTGCGTCCACCGCCGCTCATGGTGCCCGACAACTCGATCAATTCGCCCTTCAATGTCACCACGCGATAACGCGTGGCACCGTACGCGATGCGTGTTGCCTGATCCAGGTCCTGCGCCAGCAAAGTGTCCTGCAGGCCGTAGTAAAATGCCGGCAGCACACGATCATCCTCTACCTTAATCAGATCGAATAATCGATGTACATTTTCCGGCGTTTGGATCTTACGGCCGCACCTGGTCAGAAATTGTTGTTGTTTCTCCAACGCTATAAACGTGGCGCGGCCTATGTCGTGCTGCCGTAAGTGCGTGATGCATGCCTGCGCTGTAGCCACGGTATCTACGACGATATTATCGAGCGGGCCGCATGCTGTCGACACCGCGATGTCATACTTTGCGTCAATGGCACCTAAATCGCCCTATATGGAAAAAAGATGCGTATAAGAATGCTTTTTGAACAAAAAATCAATTAACGATAAAAATATAGTAAAGAGAGAGAATAAAGAAGTCAAAGTATGGTGCTTAGTAGATAAATCAAAGTATTTTACATCTAATTATTGTAAAATGTAATCGCGATAATTACTTTATGCGATTTTAAATTTAGAAACGATTAAATAGAATTTTAATTTCGAATAAAGAAATCGAACTAAGAAGCGAATATACGAATACATTTCATCGTCTCACTCGCGCTTCGCGAAGCTTCTACGACACTCACCAATCTTCCGAAGATTCCAGGTATCCGTCCCTCGCGTTTCTCCCTCATCAACGAGTCCAGAATACGATTCCTCGATTTACTGGCTTGCATGGCAGAACGCTGCTCCTCGAAGGTTATTCGCATCTTTTTCAGTTCAGCAGTCTTCTCGGCTTCGCGAGCCTTCACCTCGTCCAACTCGTTCTGTGCCTGTTTCAAGCTGCGTTCGCTTATCGGAATCTTTGTTTCGAATAACACAAGCTGTTTCTGCCGTTCCTTGAGAGTATTCGCAGTACTCTCCACTGACTCCTGAAGACTTTTCAATTTTTCCTTTTCGTTTCTCTCTACTGATGTGTAGAGCTCCAGTTCGGATTGTTGTATATCATATGCCGCTTTCGCTTGATCCACATTTTTCCTCAGAGATATCAACTTCTTTTCCAACTCGGATCGCTCATTCAGCAGCGGCTCCGTCTTTTTCCGCAGTCCTGCCATTAAAGTTGCTAACGACGCCTCTTCTTTTTCCCTGTTAGATACGTGTGTCTCGATCAAGTGTTTGCATTCCTCAATGTCTTTCGCATTTTTCTCTGGCACTTTAACAAGTTCCTCCAGCTTGTTTTTTTCCTGCAATTACCAGTTAGAATTTAATATAAACAACATAGCCCAGTATCCATTTATAAATTATGTGTAATTATTCAACATAATTTCTTCGAGATAGCCGAAGTAATATAACAGATTACCATCTTGGTAGACGCTATGTTAGCTTTCCTTCGCTTATTCGTCTCAACAAGTTCGGCGTGCAACGACTCGTCCTTCTTGCGCACTTGATCAAACTTTGTTGTGGCTTCATCTTTCTGCTGTTGCAGGACTTCCCATTTCTTACTCTTCTCCTTGATAACTTTGAGTTTCTCCTCCTTCTGCTCACCAATACTTTTCATCTCGTCTATCAGCTCGGCCAATTCCTTGTTCAGACTATCATTTTTTCCAACATGTTCGTTGAGCTCTTTTTCCGCTTCAGATCTTACAAAAAATATTTGTGATTCTCAATAATTATTCTAAACTACTATATCTCAAAAATTTCTTGCAATAAAATAATATAAAGCTGTATTTTTATGTTTAAGTCACCTTTTGCAGTGATAAAGCTGGTGTTGTAATCTAATTATCGTGTTCTCCATCTTTAAATACTGTACCGCTTCTTGCATAGGTTCCTCCAAAGTCGCCTTCTCCTTCTGTACAATTCTGAGACGATGTAATTTTTCCACTCTACGCTCCGTTAATATTTCAACCTTATCTGCTAGCTTCTCTAAAGGTTCTTGATATCGAGATGTGCCAATTATGTTCTCCAAAAATTCCAACATACCAGTATCGTTCTCATTCTGTCCCTTAGGCTTCATCATTGCAATCTGTTCCACTTCGCCCTATTCAAAACATTTTGCACCTTATTTTTATCAGTATAAGACATATAATAAACTTCATTGATACTATATAGATATAATATTAATAGTAAATATATAACTAAAATTATTTAATAATAAGCTAAATATATTTTACCTGTAATATTAAGAAACGATTGTGGTCCAAGTCGACTCCGTGAGATCTTAAAAACTTAGCAATCACATTAAATTGTACTTTTTTCTTATTAAGCTCATAATATGACGAGCTGTCTTTAAATGCTGTTCTAGATATAACAAACTTGCTATTTGGCACAACTTCATACTCTTCTCCGGGCTGAAAATTTAATTTTAGAATTTATTTTGAATTTTATTCATTATACAGAATTACCATAATCATAATTATATTTTAAAATTTTAAATCACACAACCAACTTATGCTTTACCTTATCAATAATTATCTGAAAATGTACAGAGACAGTACAGCTATTGAGATTTGGGAAATTGCTGGAATTATGTATTAAAACGGAAATCTTTTTTGATCTGATCTTACTGGCGCGATAGCCAAACACAAACAGCATAGAATCTATCACATTACTCTTGCCACTACCATTAGGTCCTACTACTGCAGAGAAACTCTAGAAAAAAAAAAAAATTAGATTAAATACCATCTTTTAACAAGCAGCACTGAGACCTTTACCTTGTGAAATGGACCAATCACGTGTGTGCCAGCATAACTTTTAAAATTCTCATTGACAATTTGGGTAATGATGAGTCTTGGTCCAGTTGTGTCAACTTCACAAAAAACTTTTGCTGGTGGTGGAATATATATCTCCTCATCGATCCTTAGGCCACCATTCTCATCTGCATCACATTCTACATCCTGCTCATTGACTTCCACAGCATCACTAGAGATGTTTCTTTTATCTTGTGATGTGATCATTTTGAATAAAACTGCAAAATTTCAACACTTGCTTATAATGTTATTATGACCAACTATATAATCTTTGCTCTATATTTTGAGCAATAATAATTCACTAATAACATTATTGATAAGAATTATGGCTCTAATATCATCGCCAAATTAACCTATAATATAATATAATGTGCAAATTATGAGAATGTTGACACAACTTCACATATGTAGCATATTATATCGATAAACACAGGAAGATAAAAATATACTATTTCAAAATTACACTACTTATTTTTACTAATTTTATGCTTTTAAACCTTATAATTTTGAAACATATTTAAGCTACTTTCAAACCCTTGTTGATTGGAACTTTCATGTTTTAAAATGAGATATCACTTCTCATACTATTAATTTCTATGCACCTTAATATGTTCATGAAAAAGTATAATATAATCTTTAAATATACAATAAGTATGCGTACTATTAAAAAATGTACTTCAATGAAGATGCTCAGTAAAAGGACTAAATAAATTTCAACAATCTCATAAACTCAGTAACAAATCAATAAACAATCAAATAATTTCCAAAAGTTACAAGCTTCTATAGCTTCGTAGTTACATACAATTAGTTCATCAAAGAAATTTTGATATCACCTGAATAGTTTTTCGAGATTACCTAGCAAAATACAACAGAAAGACGTCGATATAACAATATTATAATGCGCACTAAGTCACAAAAAAACGTACACACAAATCAGATCTTCAATCAAGTACTATTGTAATCTTACAGCGATTGTTTTTTTAAATCATTTTCAAATTAACTGTAGGTTATAAGCAACCGAACGTTTGACGCGTCGCAATCATAGGTTTATGGCCAATCTACAATGCGTCGCAAATAGGTGCATCCAGTGCTACAACCGCTCACTTAAGCTGCGTTCCCATTTCGTCTCACTCAG